CCTTCCACTTACACCAACAATGGGGTACTATTCCTTCCACTGACACCAACAATGCGGTACTATCCCTTCCACTGACACCAACAATGGGGCACTATCCCTTCCACTGACACCAACAATTGTCACTATTCCTCCCACTTGCAATAGTACTAATGATGGGGCACTATTCCTTTTACTTCCTTTCTACTGACCACAAGCACTATAATTTTTTTTACTCCTGACAACCAAGCCTGAGGCATTGTTTATTCACACTGACGCTGGGGCATTTTCTACTTCTACTGATCACAGTCTTGCCCCTACTAAAGTATGAGAAATAGTTGTCTGGTCCTTTGCTTAGAAGGCTTAGAGACCCCTACTATAGAAGAGAAAGGAGCCTGCAGACACCTTAGTCATCAGCTTCTGTCCATGGAGAAAGTAATATCACCCATCACTTCACTGATTCACCCAAAGATCTCTTATCTAGTGGTGTCTGCAGGTTACCACAGATAAGGTATTATTGGGGGTACAGTGTTGGCCAGAGGAAAAATTATCTGGTGTGCTAATATCAGATGACTGCAAAATGAGAAAACATGATTCCCCTATATAGAATAATGACCAACAGGAAGAAGGAGGTCCTGATTGATCTATATAGATCATTATTAAGATAGAAAAAGGAGGAAGAAGGTCCTGATTCCCCAATATAGATCTTTAGTTATCACTGGAGGTATCACCAGCAGGAAGGAGGAGATCCTATTTCCCCTATATATTTAGTTGCCATAAAAAGGGGTCAACAACAAGAAGGAGGTTGTTCTGATCCCCTCTATATAAATTTTAGTTATCACTAGAAGGATCACCAGCAGGTGGAAGGAAGTCCCGATTCCTATATATAGATCTTTAGTTATCACTAGAGAGATCACCAGCAGGAGGAAGGAGGTCCCTGATTCCGCTATATAGATCTTTAGTTATCACTAGAGGGATCACCAGCAGGAGGAAGGAGGTCCTGATTCCGCTATATAGATCTTTAGTTATCACTAGAGGGATCACCAGCAGGATGAAGGAGATCTTGATTCCCCTCTATAGAATCTATATAGATCCATATATTGACGGAACAGCAGCAGGAGGAAACAGGTCCTGACTCCTCTATACATTTAGCTGCCACAAGAGAGGTCAACAGCAGTAAATGAGGATCTGATCCCCTCTGTTTTTTTTTTCTCTTGCAGACAAGTACTTGGTGATTGGCTACACACAAAAGGAATTTAAACTTCCCAATATTTGCAGTTGTAGTCATAGGAACATCAAACTGCTTGGAGATGGTCGTATTACCTTTACCTATTACATGTTGGTCTATAATTTTCTTTCTGATCTCCTCAGACAATTCTCTCCTTTGCTGTTTGGTATCATTGTGTGCAGCACACTGAACATGGACCAAATATAGCAGACTGACTACTTTTCTCCATTAAATAGGCTGATTGATTACAAGATAGATAAGTGATAATAATTGCAGAAAACAGTAACGTATAATCCAATCATTTCTAATCCTAAGGGTACCAAGAAATCTGTGCAGGGCATTTTGGAATATCTTTGTACAATAAGCAATAATGTATTTCTTTTCACGCTTTCTGTGGTTCTTTCTATGGCATGCCAATGTGCTAGAGTGAAAATTGCGTTGACCAGGCACACACAACAATCACACCTAACCCAGAGTCCGTGATCCTGCAAAACCAGGGATTCCTGATTCCACCAACATCAGTCTTTTACCATTTAAAGGATAAGTTCACCTTTTATTATTAAAAAAAAAAAAAGTATTATTATATACACAGTATTTTCTGGCGTATAAGACTACTTTTTATACTTAAAAATATACCCCAAAAATTGGGGGTCGTCTTATACGCGGGGTATAAAATGTAAACCTTGAGTTTGTTTGGGTCAAGCTGGCTGGATGTGCAGTAATGTACATACAGTATACTGTGCTGAGCCAAGCTGGCTAAAAAAACAAATGTCCATATGACAGATTAATCTGTCAGCCCGCTGGATGTACGGTATATACAGTATACTGAGCCAAGTGGTTTCAAAACGTACCGGTACGTCCCTACAGTAATTAGACCGCCGGATGCGTGTATGTACGGTAGCTGCGGCTACATACAGTTTACACTGGGCAAATCACGGCGAGCGATGTATTCTACTAAATGAATACAAAGCCTGCTCGGATTGGCTGAGTCAGAGAGGTGGGCTGATGTCACAACCTCAGCCAATCTGAACAGGTTTTGTATTCATTAGAAAACAGCACTCGCTGTGATTGGCCCAGTGTATACTGTATGTAGCCTCAGCTACAGTATATACACACATCCAGCGGTCTGATTACCGTAGGGACGTACCGGTACGTTTTGAAACAGCTTGGCTCAGTATACTGTATATACCACAGTGGTATATACTCAGTATACTATATATACACCACACATCCAGCGGGCTGTCAGATTAATCTGTCATAGGGACATTTGTTTTGAGCCAGCTTGGCTCAGCGCGGTATATACTGTATGTACATTACCGCACATCCAGCGGGCTGTATATATACTGTATGTAGCCGAAGCTACCGTATTACTGCACATCCAGCGGTAACCATCTGATTTGGAATTTGATCCATATGATGACTGTCTTACAAATGTATCACAAGATGTCATTCATGAACTTATGTCAGAGGATGAACATGAGGATTTTGAAGGATTTTAAGTACCGGTAAGTCATAACCATTATCAATTAAAAAATCTGAGGTTTTTAAATGGTGTTGCCTCTTAAGGGGGGTAGTCTTATATGGCGAGTATAGCCCAAAACCTATGTTTTAACTGGAAAATTAGAGGGTCGTCTTATGCACCCAGTCGCCTTATACGCCGGAAAATACGGTATGTATATATATATATATATATATATATATATATATATATATACACATACACATACATACATACATACACACACACACACACAAAATATTCTATTTTTATTATTAATAAGAATATTAATAAATGCACAGCTTTTTTTTTCCAGTAAAAATAAAAAAAATGTGAATTTATCTTTTTTTTTTTTTTTTTTTATTTAACACTGCAGTCTGTAAAGCATTGTACCCACGATCAGCAGATTGCAGGTGCAATGCCAGGCTCCTGCAGACTCTCAGTTAGCTGTGTGCCTGTATATGGGAAGGCAGTTGTTGAATTGCAGGAAGAATCAATGAGCTGCGGAAGCGCTCACCAGTTTATAGAGAACTACAGGCCGTTGGCCACGGCGGCTGATGGTACTTTTAGTTCATTCATTTACAGAACTCTGTGAATAAATGACAGAGCCATGTGGGCAGAGCACCGCATGGCCACACTTTTAAAATTGTGACAGCAGGTGTGGGAAGAAGATCCCCGGTGGGGCTTTGGAAGGACAGGAGGCAGGAGCTAGAACATGTTACATGTTCCAACCTAAATACTGGTGGAACGTGTAACATGTCCCAAAGGTGAACTTATCCTTTAATAATGCACATCCCTAATCATACAGAACTAAACACATTCACATATCTCTAACTTCCTCCCCACATTTACAGGAAACACTACAACAGACACATGTAGGCTGGACAGAGTGAGACTACAAAGAATGTAGTCATTGGCATGAAGCTGCAAGTCCTACCTAGAAGCACTGCAAAAGCCCTGCTAAAATGGCTGCAAAGCGTGCTGGCAAATGCGTATATGCAACTTGGGGGGAGGTTCTGAACCCTCTACATGTACATTTTCTACCAGCCAATTTGAGTTCACTTGAAGATTTACACTTCGGTTACCTGAAGTTTAAAAATAAAATTAGCATTTTCTCTGTAATTCCTGAGGATTTCAGTGCCAATTCTTGTTAGGAATGGCCAAGACTGCAGTGAGCTAAGACAGAGGGTGGAGCTTGAAATAGTGAACACCTTGGCAAGCTCACATTCATAGGTATTCAGAAATGAGGGATACTGGCAACCATACAGCTTTACCCTATGGGCAGCCAGGTGCAGAAGGTGAATGTCCATATAAAACCAAGAGACCCTTATCAGGCTGCCTATGCACCAAATTTCTATCCTTGGAATGTACAGTTGTTACCAGTTATTGTGGAAGTGCATAAGATGTGCAATTGTGCTCAAAAGTTTACATACCCTGGCAGAAATTGTGAAATTTTGGCATTGATATTGAAAATATGACTGATCATGCCAAAAAATGCTCTTTTATTGAAGGATGAAGATCATACGAAGCCATTTATTATCAAATAGTTGCTTGGCTCCTTTTTAAAGCATAATGATAACAGAAATCACCCAAATGGCCCTGATCAAAAGTTTATATCTTTTTATGTCCTTTTCCATCTTTATAACGCTCCATTACCTTGTTACGCAGGACTTTTGACAGTTCTTTTCTGATGCCCATGGCTCAGTATCTAGCCTAGTCAGTGCTTCCACGTAAGAGCTAACAGACTCAATGACTATTTATACACTGACACGAATTGCAATTTAAAAAGCCACAGATGTGGGACATTAACCTCTAATTGGCATTGTAACCCGTGTGTATCATCTTGTGTGTCTGTACCAAGGCCAAACATTCCAGGGGATGGAAAACTTTTGATCAGGGCCATTTGGGTGATTTCTGTTATCATTATGATTTAAAAAGGAGCCAAACAACTGTTTGATAATAAATGGCTTCATATGATCATCATCCTTCAATAAAAGAGCATCTTTTGGCATGATCAGTCATATTTTCAATATCAATGCCAAAATGTCACAATTTCTGCCAGGGTATGTAAACTTTTGAGCAAAACTGCACATTTTATGCACTTGCACAATAACTGGTAACAATTAAAGTCTAATTTTCCTTAGGAATACACTTCTGCTCTAACCCTTTGCTTTTCCCCATATCTTCCTTTGCAGTATCTCCCATCACCTATAGCACGGTTGAGTCACATATACAGAATATATCCCATCACAGCGGACCCAGTAGCATGCAAGTGAGAGTGCGTGAAGTCGTACTCACCATTCAGGGCCGTGGGAAAGTGAGGCATGGTGTTCTGCAGCATGTCTTGTTAACTCCGGGCCATCTGCAAACACAACACACAAACACAGGCTTGTTAATAATGCAGCTGCCTGTATTCCAGAGCATGGGTCCTGCTGAGCACAGAAAGGCTGCTTCCTAATGACGGATTCTCTCCCTAGAGGAAGACAATAAGAGGGTTACCGGTGCCCGCTGTACACATTCACTATGTCTATGGAGGGGGGCTGGGAGAGGTCACACCACACTGAACGGCAGACGCCAAAGGACCACTGAAACTTGTCTGCCCCGATTTACTGATCCCCTGCTAAGAAATGATTGATCAGAACCATCAAAGTGCACTAGGACTGTAATTCCAAGATACTAATCTACATTAGGTAAAAATTCATACAAAAAGAAAGAGGAAACATCACTTTCTGTGAAATTAAATACTCTTACATGTCAGATGACAGTTGGCCACTTGCTTTGAGTTGCACATATAAAGAACAGTTTGAGATTCAAACTACTAACACATTTTTTTCATTCAAAATTGAACATCGGGGAAAATACCTTCATACACTAGCTAGAGCTCATCAACCCAATTAATTGGCCACCATTTCTAAATAGTCCAGTAAACAAATTACTGAGCTTCAACTGGGTCTTGTATGTACACAGTCAGTCATCTCAAACATTCAAGATCAACATGAAATATTGGAGACATTGAAGGAAGCGCTTACAGGGTTCTCTCCCCGTCTCTATGCAAGAGGCAAGTATTGTTAGGATTCCAAAACGGGGCAAAGATGCTAGATACCCTGAATCGTTATAGAGACCCATTTTGCTCCTCACTGCAGACGTAAAAAATCTTGGCCTGAGCATTAGCTAACAGGTTCTCAAAATACATAATGAAACTGATTCATGGGGACCACACTGGATTTTATCCCAGCTAGATCTGCCTCTATTAACCTACCTCTACCTCAACCTGTAGTTACCTACTGGTAACCTGGAGAGAGCAGTGCCATCTTTAGACGCCGCTAAAGCCTTCGATAGTGTGGCATGGATGTACCTTTGGGAGGCCCTTTGGTATAGGACCTACCTTTATTAACTGGTTCAGTTACCATACTCTTCCCCCCCTAAGCACAAATACAGACAAATGGGGTACTGTCTGAGCCATTTAATCTATATAATGGGGGCACACAACCAGGATGTCCACTCTTCCTCTGTTGCTGCTTGCACTAGCAGTGAAGCCCCTAGTGGTGGCTGTCAGACAAGCTACCAACATTACTGGTTTCAAGAGGGGTACCGGGGAACACAAAATCAGTTTATATCCAGATGACACTCTGCTTTACTTGGGAGACACCCAACAGTCCCTAGTCTTCTTGATGGATCAGATTTCCTCTTTTGGCAACTCTTCTGGATTCAGAATAAACTGGAACAAGTCCATTCTCTCACCTCACACTGGCCTACCTCATCGCAGGATATCCGTCTTCAGTCTATCATGAATGCTGCTGCCAGACTCATCCACCTTACTAACCGTTCCATATCTGCCATCCCTCTCTGTGCCAATTCCTCCACTGGCTTCCCATTGCCAAACGGATAAAATTCAAATCATTAACAAAAATATATAAAGCCATTTATAACTCTGCCCCAAAATACATCTTGTCTCCAAATATCACCCAAACCGTACTCTCCGCTCCTCGCACGACCACCTGCTCTCTAGCTCCCATGACTCCTCCTCCCATGGTCGTCTCCAGGACATCTCCAGAGCTTCCCCCATCCTCTGGAATGTTGCTGTATTGTCTCCCATTATATTGTAAAGCGCTGATCAAACTGTTGGCGCTATATAACTTTTGTATAATAATAATTCTGTTACCCTGGATCCACTAATGAGAAACCTGCCCCCCACTGCCTCTAAGATTAGAGTAGTTGGAGCCTTTAAATATCTGGGAGTGGTTGTTTACCCAACGGTATCTAACTACGTGGAATTAAATCTATCCCTGCTCTTGGCAAGACTTAAGCAGAAGCTTAAGAGTTGGTACAAGCTTCCTCTGACAGCGTTTGGCCGCTTCAACTGTGTTAAAATGATTTGGGCTCCCCAATTACTGTACATCCCCCACAATTCCCCAGTCTGGCTGCCACAGCATTAGTATAAAAAAAGTCCTACTTTAGGGAGCTTATCTGGAAAAAGAAGCCCGCTCGAATTAAATTATAAAAAAGATCTGATAAAAAAAAAAAAAAGAAGATAGACATTGAATGATATTTTACACCCATGTGTGGCACCTTAAAGTATAACTCCAGACAAAACTTTTTCTCTAGCTTTGGAAAGGGTAGGAAAGGGTTAGAACTTCTGTCATGTGTATATTGCTGTCTGTGTACCAGTTAAAGAATTCCAACATTTCTATTTACTCTGGAGATCATCATTAAAAGTAGAACTATAAGCAAAACATTTTTTTTAATTATGGATAGAGCAAGGGAGGGTTATAACCCTTGTTGGATTTTTTTTTTCACGATCTGTGTCCCATTGCAAAGATTTTTCCCTTTTATTTTGTGTCCCAATGCCAAACAGGAAGTGAAAGGAAGTCACTGAAAATTAAGGGAATTCCTTTGGGACCTCCAGATCACCAGAACAAATGTCCCCATTCGAAAATTTCCCCCGTTTATTACTTTTCTGGATACAACTCAAAATATGGGATTTTTCTTTTACTTTCACTGATAATGGTAAACAGGACAAGCAGAGAGGATGAATCACCTTTAACTCTCCTCAATCAATAAACTATTTGTAATCCTTATGCTGCCAGCATTAGTAAATAGATAGGAAAGTGTATCATATTTACTTGTTTTAAACTTTTTTTTTTCATTTCTTCAGATACTCCCCATTAAGGATTGGCACCTTTGGGGGCGGGGGGGGGAGTGGGTAACCAAATTTGACAGGTCCTAGGCGATCGGAAGTGGAAGGTTGTCCTCCTCCCCCTCCCTGTAGTCTTCTGGGACACATGAAAGGTCCCAGATGACTACGGGGCCATTCACAAAGTGCAGCGCTTCTCGCGCATGAGCAGTAAGCACCCGGCTGTAAAGCCGCAAGCTGTCACAGCCGGGTGCCCACACTAAAGATGCCGGCGCCAGGGAGAGAAGATTAGCTGGTGAAACCAGTAGTGGTGAGGACACCACTGGACCGAGGGACAGATAAGCGGCTGTATTTTAAGTCAGCAGCTACAGTCTTTTGTAGCTGCTGACTTTTTTTTTTTTCAAGCTGGAACTCTGCTTTAAGTCTATACCTGAGCTAAAGGGCAGATGGATTCCAGGAAGTAAATGATAAATTAATCATCTGCCCTTACTCAAGATGGCTACTGCCAGAAAATGCCGGGGGGGGGGGTGGGGGGGGGAGGGGGGTTTAAAAATATTTTCTCAGAAAAAATAAAGCATGGAGACATGGATGGATGGGGAAGTTTGCACTGAATATTAAAAATGAATGAAATAGCAATTTTTGGTTTGTGGTGCTCAGGTGCAGGTGCAGTTCCCTTTTAGCTGGGATACAGACAGCAATAAAAACTGACAGGTGTTCTAATCCTCTTCTACTTCCAAAAGGTTTTGCTTTTAGTTATACTTTAAGGAGAGAGTGGAAGGCAATCTAAAAATGTACAGCTGTCACGGGGGGACGGGATGAAAGGGGAAATCTTCTAATGGGGACACTTGTTTATAGTGACAGCTGTCAGAAGTAGGGTAGGATTTCCACTTTCATACTGTTGTGTCTCTAGGGGCAGAAGTGCAGGGACATCTCCACTGTGAGTCAAAGAAATCTGAGGTTCTAATCTCGCCTACACTACTGAAATCTAACAAAAAACCGCAGCAGGACGACATCCCAAAACAATAGGCAGCATTTCCACAAAAGCACAGTGCAAAGGCACAAACAAAATCCAAACACTGCTTTTGAATGCTCAACAAACACTACACAGTTGATTTTTTAGGGTACATTGCAGGAAATGCAGCAAAGAAGCCCTAAATGCTGTTCAGCTGTGTGTTACTGATCTCAAACTAAAGAATCCACATCTTGCTGGGGTAAACCTTCTGAGATCTGTGGCCACCATAAGTGTCAGAATTCCCCAGAACTCTCATTGTCTGACATGGTGTGGTTGATACAAAAGCAAGGCTAATGTCCCTGAACTGCTGAGAACTAAATTACAGACACTGCTCCCCAAAAATGTCCATTCAAAGTGTTGATAAAAACGTAACGATCCCAATAATGAAAACAATCAATAGGGTGTGGTTCAACAAAATGATGCAAATCGAGATCAACAAATAATGATGCGACTGTGAACATCGGACACACAGACCTCAAGTCAAATTCTCGCTCATACTCCTTTCTTGCACACACCACCCAGCCATACACTCCACAATCTCCTCTCCTGCCACATACCGCTTGTTGTCATGCCTGCCCTACACGCTCTGCGCTGTTCACATACTGTGCCACTGTCATACTACCCTCTGTAACTCCTCTCTTTGCCACTGGTACTGTCCACAGTCATACACCTCGGGGGTACTGGGGGCGGCTCTCCTACACATACTGGCCACCCTGTCATAGCCCTCTTTTCAGCCCAGTTCCTACTCCCCTGCCTACACTGTAACCTCATATGCCCGAACTGTCATAAACCCTCTGTAGGTGGTCTCTCCTCTCCTACACATATTTAGCCCCCTTTCATACCCTGTCTCGTGACTCGTTTTGTATTCATGTTTTCGCGGGGATCCCCTGTCACAACTGCTGTGCTCCCTTGTCATAACCCTCTGTACGTTCATCCACACATCTACTGTCCATTTTTGTCATACCCTCTGTAGTCACTCTTTGCACATACTGTCCCTGTCCATACCCTATAATACTCCTCTTCATCTTTTCTCCTTCATCTCTCTTTACATACTCTCCACTGCCCCGCTGTCATACCCTCTGAGTACTCCTCTCCTACACATACTGCCCCCCCGTCATACCCTCTGTACTCCTCCCTAGCACATACTGCCCACAGTCATACCCTCTGTACTCCTCTCCTGTCAATACTGTCCGCG